ATAAAGGTCACATTGGGGTGAAAAAATCGGATTTGTGTCACTTCAGGTTGCAGTCTGAATGTAGCCTAAGTGGCATGGTGTTCAAATGAAATCCCAGCAGCCCTGAACAGGTCCTAGGGATCTTCTTAAACAATGGTAGGCGGCTGCAGGAGGCAGGATTGGCTAAGTGTAGAAATGCCCCACCAATCAGGGACCAGGGCTCTCACAGCAGAAATTAAGAGGGACATCCAAAAGAAATTAAGGCCTCGTACACACTATACATATTCAAGTCGTTTTCGCAGTGTTCGTTCACACTAATTGAAAATGGCTCCAGAGACGGAATGATCTGATGCCACCAGCTCCCACGAATTCATCTGAGTACAGATCTGATTTGGCACTGTGTGGACGCCTGAAAACACTGATACGCTGATGTAGGTCTGTAAGCTGCAAAGTAATTCACTGCCAAAACACTAAGAGGCTAGAATATATGTCCATTCATATAAACGGTCTGTGCGTACAACCTGCAGACTTATAATCTCTGAAAAGTTTCACATGAACCATCTCCAACATGGTAGAAACACAGAACAGACTCACCATCAGCAGAACATCCCTCTGTCACAGAAAGAACACTCATATTCCACTGAGTCGTGTCCTTTAGTCCGACAGAAGCTGAACCACATCAGCGCACAATAGCGAGCTGTTTTTTGCAAATTAGCCATGCAGTTTTAAGTTCCGTTTCTGTAAAACGTAAACAAATACGCTCAAAGCTGTGTGGATAGGGAAGACTTGCGGACATAGAAACAACATGTCTGGAAGCAGATCTTTTCCGATACGGTGATTCGTTTCAGTGTAAACGTAGTCTAAAATACACACAAAACAAGTCAGAGAACTGGAGAGCTGGAGGCCTGGAGCCGTAAAACACCCTCACTCCAGATTGGCTCTTTGTTGCTATGATACTCGCCGTCAGAATTCCAAACTCTGCTCCAAATCCGCCCTTATAACCGCTAGCCTCGATTGGCTTCATTTGACTGGGTACAAACGCAATGGGTGACACCACGCCCCTTAGTTCACTACAGTCTGTGTTTGAGAGACAGTGAGCTGGTGAGTATGAGGCTGAGCACAGAGCCTATAGTGACCTCTGTACTGTGGATCAAACGTGGGTCCCAACACGGCACATGGCGCAGGTCTAATAACGAACTCTGGACGTCACTGTCAGAGGAAAACGATACGGCTGCTCCCTCCTCTCCTTACGCTGGCTCGATCGTGGGGGCTTATATAACCCGCGTGTCGCCCGGACCACCCGCTGGCCCTGACACCGTTTTACACGTAACCACGAAACAAACAAACAACAAAAGCCTCCTCCTCCTCTTTGGTAGCACTCCACCGCGTCTCATGGGAGGTCTGTCGCCATAACAACGGGCGGTCGTGTCTCGTAATGATTCACCGTTTTTGAGTTTGTGTGGAGGTCTGTTTCATAATCGGACCAGAGCAGCAAAACAGAAAACAAAAATGGAACGTTATGAACCCGAAATCGGTGTTTCTCAAACTGTGGTACATAAACTCTTTCAGGTGGACAGCTCTTCAGTTTGTGGGTTTGACAAATGTAGATTCCGTTTTACCCACTTTTTGTTCTCCTTTGGATCATTTCTTGTTTAGAAATACAATGGGAATGATGTAGTCCACTTTTAGACCTGGTTTACTTCAACTTAGACAAACTTTATTGATCCACAAGGGAAATGATTTGGACACAGGAGCTCACACATCACAATATAATATAATAACAAAGAGCAAAAAATAAAACATGGTAATAACAAATAAGCAGCAAAAAAGAGCAAGAGACAGATGTCAAATAAGACATAATTATGTAAATGTACAAGTAGAGTAAAACTGAAAAATAAGTAATAAAATATAAAATCTCAGCTTTATACAAAAGGTCATAGGAAAACAATTCACCCTTATGTGATACATAAGGGTGAATTGTAGGGAGTATTATCTGTTCCATAAGAGTGAGTTGGTGTACACTTGTAGGGAGTATTATTTGTTCCATAAGGGTGAGTTGTTGTACAGTTGTAGGGAGGAGTATTATCTATTTCATAAGGGTGAGTTGTTCTACAGTTGTAGGGAGTATTATCTGTTACAGTATAAGAGTGAGGGTGAGTTGTACAGTTGTAGGGAGTAGTTTATCTGTTACATTAGGGTGAGTTGTACAGTTGTAGGGAGTATTATCCGTTCTACATAAGGGTGAGTTGTACAGTTGTAGGGAGTATTATCTGTTACATAAGAGTGAGTTGCAGTACAGTTGTAGGGAGTATTATCTGTATACATCTTATAGTATACATCTTCATGGAGATGGATACATTTAATGCCATATTTTGGAATTTTATAGCCAAAGGAACAATATCTCCATGGAAACAAGAAGGCCAAGTAAGTTATGTCTGTGCAGGTGCAAGCTCACTCAGAAGTAAGGACTCACGCAAGTTTTTCAGGGTAATAAAAACATTTAAAAAGTACTTTAATTTTAGTCTGTTTTTTGGTTTAAAAGTTACACAGTGGGGCTTTAAAGGTGCAGTATCATTTTTTCTAGTGTCACCAGCAACTCCCATATACAGTAAATGTTATTGCCTTGCCTGAAATGTTCCACAATATCTTTAATTTATTCAGTTACAGCCATTCTCATTGCTAAAAAGTACCTGGGTTTTTCAAGGTCACATGCTTGTCGCCATGGTGATTGACAAGTTCTATGGCATATTGTGGAACATTCCAGGCAAAACAACATCTCTGTGCAGAAAATAAGGTTTTGAACTCTTCGCCTTCAACAGTTTTCAATTTTTATTTCCTGGTTGAAAATTATGATCACGCTTGGGAATTCCATATCTGTTTCATAACTGTTACCTAGCAACCAATTTGATTACAGGAGCAAAGCTGAAATTATTTGACAAATAAAAATATAAGAAAATATCTTAATATTGGGCTCAAAAAGTGTTTATTTTATGTAAATTCTGCCAAACTTTTGGACAGAATTCTCCCTAGTGTGGTGTCATCAATGTGGAATTCTCTAGAATAGAACTCGCAACTTACTGTAATTTTCAACATATTTTTTAACTTTTCCTCAAAAATATATTATTGATTGGTGTAAAAGTTTTACAGCAGGTATTATCCCACCAAATTAAGTCAAAATTAGAGAATAATCAAAACTTGTTATGCACTTTAAAACTTGAACTTATGCCCCTCTAAAGACTAAAAATATGTTTATGGAAATGAGGTGACATAATGTGTTTTTTGTAACATCAACATTTCATTTTTTGGAGTGCAGGACCCCACATTTTGTCATTGCACAGTGAACATTATAGAAGGAGATTGGAGAGTGTGGACACGTGTAAATGCTACAACTGAAAATAAGAGGTTATATTTGGTAATAGCTCACAGACTACACAGAGTAAACATGTATCAGACCACCAAAAACACAATAGAATGTGACTCGTGCTGGTTACATAACACTTTAAACAAACTTTGTGTCTGATTTTAGTGGCTAAAATAAAAACAGAAGAAGTATGACATTACAGTGAATGTAGAAGAGGTGGGACCAAGTTGTTGTTTTGCAAGTCTCAAGTAAGTCTCAAGCCTTTGACCTCAAGTCCGAGTCAAGTCCAAAGTCAAATACAGGCAAGTCAAAGTCGAGTCTCAAGTCACTGGCCCATAAGTCCAAGTCAAGTCCAAGTCGTCTGCTTTGAGCTTCAAGTCATTTCAAGTCTTTAAACCAAAGTGCTTTGGTTTTTGCCATTTGTATGTATTTTAAACTAAATTATACTTAAAAACTCACAGTATATTTATATATGAGTATTTATAGAGTATACAAGGGTTGTAGAAATTTTGTTATTTTTTTTCTTTTTATGACTTGACAAGATCTTGATGTGAATCATTACTGTCAGAATAGAAATAATTCAGATTTAAAAGTGCTTCTCAATTCTTCTCAAGTCACAGGCCTCAAGTCAAGTCCCAAATCAATGACCTTCAAGTCCAAGTCGAGTCCCAAATCTTAGTCAGTTTTATCAAGTCAAGTCTTAAATCCTAAAAATTTGTCACTCAAGTCTGACTCAAGTCCCACCTCTGCTATGTAAGAACTGTCTTTTCTGTGGGACATTTTGAAAAACATTGAAACCATTTTATAAAACCATTTGATAAAATATGATCCAAAATATTTTATAGTAGTGGACTGTCTTTTGCAATAATGTGTATTGTATGTGTGTACTAGGACTGCAACAAATACATTTACTAGTCAACTATGAAAATGTGTTGTAACTGTATAATGATCATTATCTGGAGTAAACAAAACCTTTTCATAACAAAGACAGGGGCATTATTAAAGCCATAGTATGTAACTTTTTTACTACCAAAATATGGACTGAAACAAAAGCATGTCTTCTCATTCTAGAAGAGTAATAGCAGAGTAATAAGTACAAAAACTTGTCCTTACTATGAGTGGCCTCACTTCTCCACAAACCTGACTCTTGGCCTGGGGGAGGGCCTGTTCCTGCTTGTTTCCATGGAAATGTTGTTTCTTTGGCTATAATATTCCACACTATGGCATAAAATATGTCCATCTCCATGGAGAATGTTCCAAAGTATGTTTTCATCTCTGTTTTCATGGAATCATGCAGTTGAGAAAGTTATTTACTTAATAGAAATAATCATGGCTAGTCGACTACTACAATAATATATAATATTTATAATAATATTTGTTGCAGCCCTAGTTATTAGTCAGATACGATGTTATGACCCTTTAAGATCAATGGTGGTGCTGCTAGAATGTACAAGTTGTTAGTTAAAATAATATTCATAGTAGTCAAGTTGTATGTAGTTGTTTTGTAGCATTGTCTTTATATAAGTAGTTCATTTAAATGCACAGTGTTGTTTTGGGGAAATCCGTTTGGAAACTCTTTGTGACTGGTGATGCATCTGTTATACAACCGCTCCCTGTCGTCACGGCGACATCACATCATTTCTATTTTCTGCTTTTTCAGGGCGAGGCGCTGAGGCAGATCCTGGTGAACCGTTACTATGGAAACTTCCGGAGCGGTGGGCGAAGGGAGAGTCTGACGTCATTCTCCAACGGGCCAGTGCTGGGCGCCGTGCACGCCAAGTCCACATCAGGTAGAATTACTCATCCGCTGCAGTGAGGAGGCGGGATACAGTGGTGTGATGTGGTGTGAAAAAGCAGAGTGAGAAGAGGAAAATTAAAGAGGGGCTATTATGCAAAATCCACTTTATGGAGCTTTATAACGTTGTTCCATTATCAAAACATGCCTGAAGTGGTTTCATCGTCGTTTGAGTGGTCCAGTGGTCTCTGCTGAACCCCATTCAAACCCTCCTTCTGTTCAGCAGCACAATATCGTCTAAACCTCAGCCCACAATCCTACGTCACCCATGGCCATTTTACACGAATATACAAGGGCATGATACAAAACAATACACTACAACTTCACAAACCTGACGCAAAGAGCAGTAGTTTCATTGGCAAAATGCACTGATGCGCTGATTTTGCTGAGCATAAAGAGCAAAGAGGAGGGGACATCAAAAACGAAACAGAAATGTCTTAAATATTTTTAGCTGATTTTTACTGTTCCGAGTCTCATAGTCTTGTATTTTTTATTTTTTTATTGACATTATTTTCCTTGGTCAGTGATTAAGCAGAATTACATTTGCCTAATTTTCCATAGCAGTTTCTAGTCAGGCTGGCGCCACCTAGTGCCTCCACTCTATTTCCTTTCTCTCCAGCCACTAGGTCAGGAATCAGAATACACTAGACGATTCGCAAAAAAACCCAGAAGTGCAAGTTCAGGTACCAGCCAATCAGCGAAGAGGCATATATTCTGTGTAGTCAACGATTCCCGAGATCGAGGATTTAAAGCCAGAACAAAGAGAATGTTTGGTGAATTTTATCAAGGGGAAAGACGTTTTTGTCCTTCTTCCTGCGGGATTTGGGAAAAGCTTAATATGCCAGTTAGCCCCGTTTGCAGCGCATTACATACGTCACGAACAAATAGTAGCGACTGGTTAATTGATAAAAAGTACCCGCCCACCATCGAGTAAACAAATTTTAACACTGCAAAGTCAGACGGTTTCTACGAAGTGAAACCGGCTGATGAATCAGGCTAAGCAGTTTCCACATGTCTACCGTATTTTCCAGGCTATTAGATGCGCTCTTAAGCCTCCAACCCCATCAAAAAATGACTGTGCGCCCCACAATCCAGAGCGCCCTATACACGAATCCATTCAGGTGTCCCAGCACGACTTCAGTAAACTACAAAGCCGCTTCGCACGCAAACACACACGGAGCAGACAGCGACCGCACAGCGAAACACACCCACACACACACTCATCACTCCACGCCGACGAGGAACGGAACAGATGAACAAACAGACAAAGCGAGTGCAATGTGCCACTTCTAGACACAACTGAACAACTGAGTCACTGCGAACACGCCGACAATCCAGCGGTCCCAGACAGCACCCTCCCTACACGCCACAACTGAACAAAGCCCAGAGTCACCGTGAACGCCACAAACAAAGTCCCACTGACCCATCCAACTGTTGTGTTTCCTTTAAAGTCCGGCGCTGTTTATTTGTGAAAAAAGTTCGAAAATAGACCATTTAATGACAGTGCACCTTATAATTCAGAGCGCCTAATAGCCCGGAAAATACGGTACTTAAACTTCTCATACTTTAAACAGACTAATTACAGGCAATAAATAGACTTTCTTTGGAAGGTAGGGTCAAATACACCTTTATCTCTTTTTAAGGTCAGGGGATTTCCTGTCTTTTGGTTTAATGTACTACTCTGAACGTTGTCCTTGTTATCAGCCGCACGCCCCTCTGGCCTTTGACCTCCGACTTTTGCGTGCGTAATAATGTCATCATAACAGCCGCTGCAGTATGGTTCACAGTGTGGTTCATAGTGTGGTTCACAGTGTGCTACGTGACTTGTAGGGTAGATCTGAGTCGAGGAGCAGGCTCACACACCGGGGCTGTTCCAGAGCAGCATATGGACCCGTTTGAGTGGAGTTGGTGCAATGAATGAGTGTGATATCTTGATGGTGAATTACACATACAAAACAAGTACACAAACCCCAATATTTACAAAGTGCAGACAGATTTTCTAAGCACAATGTCTTTTTTGTACAGTGTGTTTTGAAGGGCTCATATTACGCCATTTTCTGATCTATGTTATTATGTCGTTTCCTCGTCACAAACTTACCTGGAGTTTTGTTTTGTTTAATTTACACATGTTTAACACACAGACCCTGCAGATTGAGGATATATTCTCTCAAACAGAAAACACTGTTCCACCTTGTGGTGTCATCAGATACTAATCGAGACACGGATATAATACCACATAGTAATATAAAAGAAAATACTGTGATTTAAGGTTGAAAATCACGTTCTGTTGTATTTATTATTATCATGGTTTCAGAAATGGTATCGAGTATTTAATATATTCCTTAGTATCGAAATTGAGTTTGAAAATGTTAGTATCGTGACAACATTATGAGGGAGAAAATTCAGATTATTAGGAGCCACTACAGTCTCTTGTTAACAGAGCTGATATATTTGTTTGTCGTGTTTTCCAGCCCTGGTTCCGGGAGGCCTGAGCCGGGGGCAGATGAGCCTGGCCGAGGTGCAGTGTCACCTGGACAAAGAGGGAGCGTCAGACCTGGTCATCGACCTCATCATGAACACGAGCAGTGACCGAGTGTTTCAAGAGAGCATCCTGTTAGCCATCGCTCTGCTGGAGGGAGGCAACACCACCATACAGGTAACCACCATACACTTAACCCCCGTACAGGTAACCCCCATACAGTTCACCCCCATACAGATGACCCCCATACACTTAACCCCCATACAGATAACACCCATACACTTAACCCCCATACAAGTAACCCCCATACAGATAACGCCCATACACTTAACCCCCATACAGGTAACCCCCATACAGGTAACCCCCATACAGGTAACTGCATCTAAAATTTTATCTTTTGTTTTGTTGCTATTCTTTTTAATCACACTTATATTTATATAGATTTAAAAATGACAATATCTTAAAAATATGTTCATTATACATGAAGTCTAGATAAGCCATTTAGATGAGTGACTTGTTTTTTTTTTGCACTTTCAGTTTATGCAAATGAGTCATGCGGTTTTAAGTTTCTTTTCTGTAAAACATAAACAAATGTGGCAAAGCTGCATTAAAACGTTATAATCTCAAACAAGCTGATGTGGCTCTACAGTGGTTATGGTTTATATGTTGTAAAGTTGAGTTTATTAATGCAGAAGATTTTAATGAAGAATCTGCTTGAGTGTAGAACTTGTACAACAGTGTTTGGAAACGTTGGGTTTGATCTGTGCAGTGGATTGTGGGAAACCTCACAGCTCGTCACACTGGTTAGGAACCTTCTGTGCTAAAGGAGCTCATGGTTGTTTGTATTTTTCCTGGATATTATTAATTATATCATTTTTGCACATTTGTAAGATTATATCAAGAAAGCGGGACAGTGCATTTAGAAGCGGGACACTGATGTGCAAGTAAACACACTCACAGAAGTAATGACGATAATTGTAAATGTTATTACCTCCACCAAGGAGGTTATGTTTTTGCCGGCGTTTGTCTGTTTGTTTGTTTGTTTGTTTGTTTGTTTGTCTGTTAGCAACATAACTCAAAAAGTTATGGACCGATTTTGATGAAATTTTCAGGATTTGTTGGAAATGTGAAAAGGAAGAACTGATTTCATTTTGGGGGTGATCCGGAAGAAATCCTGGATTCTGGATCACTTTGAAATTTTAGTTAACATTGTGGTAAATGGGGCCAAACATTTTGTTTCTCAATATCTCGGTTAATTATTGACCAAACCCCATGAAATTTGACTCAGGGATGGACAATGGGATCCTCTTTCATATTCCAAAGGCTGATCCGGATCTGATCCAGAAGACTGATTTTATCGCAATTTATATAAAAAATAGGGGTAGTCCTTGGCGGAGGTCTGCGCTCTCTGAGTGCTTTTCTAGTTAAAACTTTAACAGTGACTGACATTAATAAAGTGAAAGTGCTGAATCTTGATCTCTGTTTCTCACCTTGCTGCCATTGTTGATAATTATTGTAAGAAATCATGAACGTGATCAGTGTCTGCACATAGATAGATGATTATCATGAATTGTTATTAATAATGTAGAACTAAAGCCAAACTGAGCACATGTGTGACTCAGTGCCCATGAAGCAGCTCTCAGTTTCAAAAAGCTTGGTGGCCCTTGATGTATACAAATAACCCCCATACAGGTACACTCACTTTAACCAGCATACAGGTAACCCCAATATACTCTACCAAACCAAACAAAAATTCAGGTACACTTAAACCATCATACCTGTCACTGCCATACAGGTACTCATTAACTCGAGAGGAGGTACAGTTAACCAACTTACAGGTACAGAAACATGCCCCATGTGAGCACTCCCGGCCAATCAGCACAATAATGACTAGAGGAGCAGATCCTAGTACGGCCGGCACTCTGATATCCTTGTATTCTTTTTACAGAAGCACCAAACTTAGAAATGGCTTATTTCAGTGACGCATGTGAAACGGAGGAGCTATTATTGAACTAAATCACATTTCTCTCACCTCAGACGAGTTTAGTGCTTTGCTCATTGATTCTGCAGACATCATACAGGTTTTCAGTTTTTCAGTCCCCTATGATATTTTCTTTTTTTCTTCCTCATAAGCAGCCGTATTTGTTTTGATACAGATGGGCCATGCGTGTCTGTGATTGGCTAATCCATCTGTCAATCACACCCATCTGACCTCCAGACTCACATCTTCGTAAAGTATTGAAGTATGTATTCTGTATTCCAGGCAGAGCAGAGCAAGCGTGGGGTTAAACCAAACATTTAAAAATTAACTTTGAGGATGTGCTTTGAGCATTTAAAAAAAGTAAATTTAACTTAACAAAAAATACATTTGGGAAGGTTTCATTTTAGGACAGAGTTGCAGTACCACAGAATGGCCACTAATCATTGTCCATGAAATGCTGCAGTGTTGTTGTGCATTGGTTATTGGAGATCAGGTCAAATTAGAACAAACAATGGATTTGGGCTTTGACCTTATTGTCACATTCGACACACGTTTATCGGTAAATCTTCACCCAGAATCCTTTGCTAGTCTAAACAAAGTAGCGCATCATAAATGCTGGTTTTGCTTGGCGCAGGATCTGGTTATGTGGGTCAGTGTGCCACCATAGTATCACATGTGCATCTCACCTCCAAACACCGCACTATCTTTCGCTCATAATATAGGCCACCGCTAATGATGTCACCAGGGAGCATATCGCTTTCATGTTTTGGTCACACTTAAAGGCGCTGTAGATGTGTCTGGAAAAACAGAACGAGCTCTTTTTAAACGGTTTACAGTGCTCCAAAGTTCTCCATCATTTACCGTTTGTATTCAGAGCATCTAAATTATTCACCGTGATGAGCTGATGAAGAGATTTTCACAACTTTCAGAGACCAAAGCAGAGTTTTGTTGTGATTGTAAACCTAACTAATTTACTAATGCACACTTCCTGATTATCAGACAATAAAATGTTTTAGAATCAGATGCAGACAGAACACAGTGAACTTATTTTGGCCTCAAGTGCTGCTAATACAGTATATCTGTACTGGGGCTACTATACTGAGTGAGGTACATTTTGCTAAAATCAGAGTTCTCATGGTCATAGAAATCCTGGAAAAGTCATGGAAATTGAAAATGTCATTTTCTAGGCCTGGAAAAGTCATGAGATTTTAGAACTTCCAGCGTTCTGTTAAGTTCTCATTAGAGTATTCTGATTATTTCCAAATGTTTGCGCCTTTATTTTTTTTAAAAGAGATGACAGTAAATGCACTGACAGGATTTTGAATGTTCAAAAACTATAATCCCAAACCATAAGGTGACTGGAAATAGTTAACATTTCATATTTAGCCCTAAAAGTCTGATCAATTCTACACTGTAGGGGCCGTAAAGTCATGGAAAATTCACTTTAAGTCATAAAAAAGTTATAGAAAAGTTTTGAAATCTTGTGAAAAAGAGTGGGAACTCTGTGAAATACATACAGGAGTTATTCAGGTACAGTTGTTATAGACATTGGGCTCACAGTTGTTCATATTAATTGTCTGACTCCATGGTTTAGTTGAATTTTAGACCTGGTGTAGCCCTAATTCAGGTTCATAATTTCGATGATAAAGTCCAGGTGTAGATCTGGTGGTACTCTGAAAAACAAATACTTACTATGCTTGGATGGGAGACCACTGAGAAAATCTGGTGCAAAAAACGTGTTTTTAGGCAAGACGCTTTAGCCGCATTGCCTGGTATGAATGTGCTCTGTAAAACTCTGTGTGTGGAAAGGAGCTGTATACATCGAATGTATTATTCTGATTATTATTATGGTGCAAGGACCTGCCTTAGATCATCTGTGCCAACGTTAGTTTGATGTTTAACGGTACGATGACTGAGTGGCGAGCTTGCATGCTTCACAAGTTCCAGGTTCAATCCCCGAGTTGCTCAGGCCTTTCTGTGTGGGGTTTGCAGGATCTTCCTGTTTCTGGGTGGGTTCTGTGGACACTCTGGTTTCCTCCATCAAACCAAAACACAGGTACAATTAAGGTTGTGCAATGAATTTTGATTGCTATTTTGATTTGTTTGTCAAACGATCTCCAAACTCATATAAACGATTTAAAGCTTAACAAAGTTTGTTTGGGGATTTTTTAATATAGAGATTGTAGAACAGCTGGATATATAGTTTATTTTGGACACATTTATGTTTTTCTATTTCTTATTTCATGTTCAAAGTTTATTTTATTTATTTTATATTTTATACATCGCAGAACTGCTCAAAGGTTCAGATTTGCAGCTTATATTTATTTAAAATTTTATAGTTTTGCGTAAATTATCAATAACAGAGTGTTGTTTTTTTTGAGAGAGAGCGAGAAATATTGAATAAATGCATCTTGTAACTAAAAATAATTGTTAATAATTGAATATTAATAATTTCAATATTGACCAAGATAATCGTGATAATGATTTTTTCCCGAGGTACAATTCTCCAGTGCACACACTTTAACCTTAATGTGGATAGGCCCAATGATTCTAAAATGCAAATTCCAAAACAAATTCTACTATGTATAAGAGTTATCTGACCTCCAGCATAATATTAATGGTGTAGAATGTTTTGATGTCACATGAGTTCAACCGTTTCTGCAGAATCACGTCTGTTCTCCAGTCGCATAAACGTCTGCAGTCTGTGCGCCATGTTGACTGAAGACAAACTCTCATCCTCATCATTTCAGACGTGAAATCCTCTGCCACACCTGTCTGCACACTCTTCATCTCTCCGCCTGTCTCTCTCTGAATGTCTCCGTCCTATCTACACCTCTCTTTCTGTCAATCTCTCACGCTATCCTCTGCTCCTAATCTTGCATCTCTCCTTCCCCATCTGCACACCTCTCAGTATTCTCTGTTCCTCTCTTCTTTTTCTGTCTCACCTTCTCCCCTTCTCACCCTCCTCTCTCTTGCTCTGTCTCCTTCTCTCTTTTCTCCTCTCCCCTCCTCTCTTTCCCCTCCTCCCCCTCGTCCTGTCTGTCTCTCCCCCTCTCCTCCTCCCCGCTGTTGTGTAAGTGCAGGGCCTTGCATAATCAGATTTGTGAGCGAGGCTCTTCCCACGGCGGCGACGGCAGCAGCAGCAGAGCCACAGTCACGTGATCCCAGTGTGTTACATAAGTGCCCGGGTGAATGA